TCCTTCTCACTTGTCTCGCTCTTCTCGCCTCGGAAAGTGTCAAAGCTCTCGCGAAGGGCGGCAATGATTTCATCCTTATCGGTGCGCTCACCACGGGAGCTCTCGAGATGCTCGCGAAGTGCAGCAATGATGTCATCCTTGTCGCTCTTCTCACTCTTCTCGCTCCGGAAAGTGTCAAGACTCTCACGAAGAGCGGCTATGATCTCATCTTTGTCACTCTTCGGCGCTTCGGGCTCCGCACGAACAAGACTCATGTTCATCGACTCCCGGAGCTGCTCAAATTCATTTTTGATAATGCTAGCAATGTCTTGGCTCTTGGGAACTTTCTGAGCCTCTGAGACATCGCGAATGGCGTCGAGGATCTCGTCCTTATCACTTGAGGTGCTCTGTTCCGTCCGAAGGAGAGAGCTAATTGTAGATCGGAGGTGCTCAAACTCCTTCTCCATTGCATCGAGAAGCTCTGGGGTATCCGGGTTGCGAGGCACACTAGCCACTACGCTCTCGGCAATTGTCCTTTCCATGTCTGCCTGGAGCAGTCGGAACCCTTCCTTCACGGTGTCCATGATTTCATGCGTGCCAGAGGCTTCGGCGGCGGTAGCAGCGTAACCTTCAACCTCCTGTCGCACGACAGCGATGCCATCTTTGATTGCGTCCAGGATCTGCATTGTATCGTTCTCCTTGGCAAGAGACTGCTGCTTCAGCTCCTCTCTCATGCCGTCATGGTGCTCCATGACTCGTTCAAGGATCTGGTCCCCGACATGGTGGTTCTCGGCGTTGGCCTCGTGAAGACCAGCTGAGATAGCTTCCATGAGATCGTCCTTGTTCAATTCGATCTCCCGGGTCATGCTGTTCTGAGCCTCCAGGCCCTCGGCAATAGCAGCGAGAATTTCGTCGCGGGAAACTGTAGGCTGGATGTTGGTACTGACAGCCGACTGCTGGGCATAGAATGCGTCGTTGATCGCACTGGCGACATCCTCCTTGGTGACGTGTGGTTGCTCAAGCTGGCGAGCAGAGGTAAAGTGCGCTTGGACACCCTCTGCGACCGCGCTCAAGATCCCTTCGCGACCAAGGCCAGAGTCAAGTGACTCCCTCGTAAGTGCATTCTGGGATGCTACGGATTGGGTAACTGCCTGCAGTATATCTTCCCGAATAGCATCCAGCTTCTCGTCGTGCACAGATCGGGTAGCAGTCTGAGAGGTTTCGAGACATTCACGAATTGTGTGCACGATCTCGTCCTTGGTGATAGTGGGTGGTTGTTCGAACTGCTGCATACCCGCCTGTACAGCTGCCAGGACTTGATCATATGTGACAGCATCTTCATGCCGCGGCTGGTAGGCTTTGAGACCGTCTGACAAACATTCCAAGATCTCATCACGCTCAAGTCCAAAGTTCTCCAGCTCAATCTCGGGCTTGTATGTTTCCCAGGCATCTCTAACTGCATCCAGGATGTCGTCCTTCTCCATCGTGGCGCCCCTTGGCTCATCTCGCAAGTGTGACAAGTCGAGGTCATTAAAGGCCTGTTGGACAATGGAGTAAATCTCGGCGCCGTCCATCGCGGAGCGGAATTCTGACAGAGCAGTTGAATGCTGCTTGTTTTCGGTCACGATTGCTTCCAGCTGCTCCCTCAGGTCGCATAGACAGTCGTTGACAATAGCGGAAATCTCATCCTTTCCGGGGCCGGCTGGCTTGTCCTCTGCGGCCTCGCGAGCTATCTCGATCTCTTCCAGTTTCCGGGCCAGGTTTCGCCCCATGCCCAGCACCTCGCCGCGCAACTCGCGTACCAGTGCTTTCACTTCATTGGTCATCCCGCCTCCTTCAATCACGCTGTTCTTCACACGTCGCATGATCGATAGCATTTCTTCCGTCGTCTGCTCGTCAGAGTGGGACATTGAGCGTGTTGATAGTCGGCTATTGTCCCCGGTGACCATATCCAGGTCCGGAACGTATAAATGCTCCGAGTCCATGGATTTTGATCTGCCTGTCTTGAAAGCAGTAGAACCGGTGACAGAGGGTGCACGTGTCCGCACCAAAGCCTTACTCTCCGACTCATCTTTGATGATACTCAGGATCTCCTCCAGCATCTTTGTTGTCCTACTGTCAAGCGGTTCGCCGGAAGTGTCGGAGACGGGGCGGGCTTTAATCTCGTCGACCAATTCCGTGAGCTTTTCCTGACCTTCCTTGGTGGCCATTTCCCGGAGCACCTTCTCCAATAGCGCAATACTGGCCGATCCATCGGATATGGGCGTAGGCGAAGCGGCCAACTCGCGTTCCATTGCCGCCGCGAAGGGATTAGGACTTGGCATCCGTCCATAGCTCTTCTTCGAGTTCGGAGAACTATCCGATTCCCTATTGTTAACACCACTATCAGAACCCAGGAGAGCACTGAAATCAAACCTTGTGGCAGCATCAGGATCCAAGAACCTCGAATTCAAGTTGGAGGATAGCTCCCGGAGGCTTTTCCGGATATCCTCGTCTCGCGCATTCGTGGCGGCTTTCAGGCTAACGAGGTCTGTCGCATTGTCTTTGCTTCGGCGGCTGAGTTGGGCCATTTCGCGCTGGAGGTTGCTGGCAATGTCGGTGAGACTGTGGATTTGCGTGGACAAGGATTCGAAGCTGTAGTTAGGAGGACGACTCGGCCCCACGAACGGATCTGATTCGACGCTCTTCGGTTGCGAAGCAGGTTCGGGGGGCAGTTGCATGTTCTGCAGCGCGAGCATGGTGGCAGAGGGCGGGGTGCTTTCCCCAAGGATTGGTTTGGAGAGATACCGGGGCGAGATGAGCAAGTTCGGGGGCTCGTGCTCTGGCTCCGGCTCTTCTATCTCAGATTTCATTAAACTCTTCTCCGGCAGCTTTGTCGCTGAATCAAACGTTGACGCTCGTTGTGGCCGTTCCGGCGATTTGCTCTCTAGGTAGTTTAGGAACTCAGATCGCGGATCCGAGCTATTCTGAAATGACTGCATTCGCTTGTGAAATTGGCCTTTGATCAGAGATTTCTCCGGTGAAGGAGGTTTCGGTGGCATTGGGTTGGAGATATATGGGCTTGGGGCGTTTTCCCGCATCTTCTCTGTAAAGGTAGCCGCCATCGCTTGGATACCGGGCGAAACGTTGCCCTTCGTCGCCGGACTGGTCGAACCGGGGTTCATGGGCAGCGGCGGAGGCGCCCGTTCGGGATCTGAACTGTCCCACCTTCATTTCCACGATGTCAAGGTCAGTCTAAAGCAGTCTCTCGTTTGCCATTGGGCGGCAGAAAGCCATTGTTTAGGTGCTACTTGAGACATACATGGGAATTGGCTGGTTTCTGACAACGAGCTCCCGATCTCGGGAACCGTCGCGAGTGTGAGCCGCCGGCATTGTGAGACCTGGCTTATAGGATGAACTTCCTGTATTGTTCGTTCGTTGATGAAAAAATAACTTTGGGATCGGGGGCAAGAGGGGTTAATGTAGGTGGAATGCGCAGAAGAATGTTCGTCAATTAAGGTCGTTAGGCATATCAATTCGTCAAAACAAAGCAAAAGCAGATAACTCTTGGTCGCATCAAAGCACGTCGTACAACAGGGAAGCAAGGATTGTGAAAAACAGAACAGAAATAAAGAAAAAGTATCAAAGCGCTTGCTATCGAGGGATGGAGGGGAGGGGAGGAAGTAAACGACGAACGGATCACGACAGAAAAGATCCGAGTAGATCTTGGAGTAGATAATCAATTAAAAAAGAAGTAAAGTGACCCAAACAGCCGAGTGGAGTTTGAGAACTGGAGGGAGATTTTTAATGGTAGCTCATGGGGCATCAACCAGCATCGGGCCCAATCTCTCGTGTACACATCAAAGCTTCGTCCTAGCAACCGATAGACGCCCCGTTGCCGAGTAAACAATGCCGTCATGGGCGGTGAGAGAACATAGCGATCAAGAGAAAAGTTTGTCCGATGAGCCCCGGGCATCTCGGGCACTAAGCCTGTTGGGGAAACTCTCCCAGAACAGCTTAGCGACGGAGGATCGGTAATGCAACCAATGAGCGGTGGGCGCACAAAAGCCCTGAGCAAGCCCTGATTCTCAAGCGAAAAAAAGAACGTCGACGGCGGAGACTCTCTTTACTCGACCGAAGCACATCGACAACCAACCCCATCGACCTTGTTGCCGCCGGGACTTTCACAATGAAGTGTTAGTTGATCGCTCTACCACCCCGATTTTTGATTCACTACGTTTGAATGCCAGCTGACAGGATGTCGCGATAGTCATGAAAGTGGGCCGTGTGGCCATCATCACCCGTGGCCGTTACGCCGGTAAGAAGGTACGACACGAAATGATTCCCTTTTCCAGTTTCTGCGCGAGGCGGATTGTGTGCTATGGCATTTGTTTTGGCGGGAGCGAATGAATTTTTCAAATGGAAGACGACGAAAATTACGACACATTCAACGACATCCAGCGAGAGTTAGATGGGCGGAAGAATTGCGTGTTACGGTTTTCATGGATGAGACGTGTGAAGGGATGAAACTGACAGGACCGCTGGTATAGGTCGTCATTGTCCAGCCTAACGACACTGGCTCCAAGGCGCACCCCTTCGCCTATGCCGTCGTTGCCGGTATCGAGCGTTACCCCCTGAAGGTCACCCGCCGCATGGGTAAGAAGACCGTCGAGAAGCGCAGCCGCATCAAGCCTTTCATCAAGGTTGTCAACTACAACCACTTGATGCCCACCCGTTACACCCTCGAGCTCGAGGGTCTCAAGGGCTCCGTCACCAACGACACCTTCAAGGAGGTCTCCCAGCGTGAGGACGCCAAGAAGACCGTCAAGAAGGCCCTTGAGGACCGCTACACCAGCGGCAAGAACCGTTGGTTCTTCACTCCTCTTCGTACGTTTTTTTCTCAATTGTTCCTCATACATGGGCGTATACTGACCGGAGACAGGTTTCTAAACGGGGTTTTTTTGGGCGTTATGTCGTTTGAGCGCGCAAGGTCTTAGATGAGGCAAGAAAAAAAAGGGCATCGAGCACATTCGGTTCATGACACAAGAGGACGGATACCATAGCTGGCGGACGCATGGGGGAATGTATCGATGTACAAGTCCAGGACTTGGCCATTTTTCTTATTTGATAATGAAGGAGGCCACCGAGATCTGGCGTCCTCGCAATGAAATGGAAATATGAACAAATTCAAAATCTTCCTTTGTCTGAGATTGATACGATGTGACTACTACAGATTCCCGGACTATACCCCGTGGCTTGGACTACCGCAACACCTAAGTCTCAAAGTTTTTTTTTTTTTTTTTATCAATTTGACTCTGGACCATCCTCTGGATCATTTCCCTCCCCAAACCCACAACCCATGGAGATATATAACTATATCTTGTTTCCCCTCCCTCACGAACCATCAAGTCAAACCCCCCGAAGAGCCCACGTGCCGGAGCAGAGAGACAACTGCACCGTCCTCTTAGCGCATAAGAGATCCCCGCATCTTACGTATCTCCGCAATCAAGCAAACCGGAAGGACAGTAGCAGCAATCCGAAGAAGCGGGGAACACACAGCCATAGCAAAACATCAACATCCAGGGCCACCTCATCGCCGTAGCCGCTGTACTCCGGACGGAAGTGGAACGGCCGTCATCGTAGACGGACTGGACCGGTCCATGCATGCAGAGACCAAACATTGGGCGGCTAGTTGTCTAACGAATGGCCGTACGGCATGAGGTAGGTTACCTTAGTATGGGTTAGCGAGAGCTCGTATTGAGCGATCGAACTATAGTAACTAGTAGAGTTCTCTGGTTGATAATTGCGAGCGGCGTCTACGTTCCCTCTTGCGGGAGGGCTCCGCTGCGGTAGGAAGAGACGCGGATGGTGCCTGTCTGTGCTCTTGCTTGTGAATTGGGGATTGGTGTTTTCTCCACGGCTAGATCTAGGAGTTTTTATGTTGAGTTATTTTTATTTTTATTTTTATTCTTCTTTTTTTTTTTTTTTTTT